CTCACTTGAGCCCAGGAGTTGGAGGTTGCTGTGAGCTGTGATGCCATGGCACTCTACCCAGGGGGACAGCTTGAGGCTCTGTCTCAAAAAAAAAGAAAAAAAGTAAAAACAAGACAAAATTCTAATTTTAGTCCTTCATGTATGATGCCAAGGGAAATTTCTCTTATAAGGATAAATCTGTATGCCAAATGTGTGTTGTCTCAATCTAGCCTTTCTCCCCATCAGAGTGCCTGGAAGAGCTTGGATGTCTGGTCGAGTCTTATGGCATGAATGTTTGCCAACCAACCCCAGGAAAAGCCTTAAAGGAAATAGCTATTCACATAGGAGACCGTGACAACGCTGTACGCAATGCTGCGCTCAACACCATTGTGACGGTGTACAATGTGCATGGGGATCAGGTGTTCAAACTGATTGGAAATGTGAGTGACTTTTCTCTTAAGTATTGTCAGCAGGTTGTGAAAAGATACATAAGATCTCTTAGGTGCCAGGCTTCTTGTCATCTCAATTGTTACTAAATTTTGTACCGTTTTTGCGGGGAGGGGGTGCACAGAGTCTCACTTTATCGCCCTTGGTAGAGTGCCATGGCATCACAGCAGCCTCTAACTCCTTGGCTTAGGTGATTCTCTTGCCTCAGCCTCCCGAGTAGCTGGGACCACAGGCTCCCACTACCACACCCGGCTATTTTTTTTTTTTGTTTGCAGGTTGGCCAGGGCCAGGTTCAAGCCCACCACCCTTGGTATATGGGGCAGGCATCCTATCCACTGAGCCACAGGCACCTCTGCCACTTTCTAGTAAATTCAACCTTGCAGTGTGTCCTAGAATCCAGGTAGACCTTGGAGGTATATCTGTTTAGGCTGTGTTTTACTGGAAATCAAGTTTTCTGAGCATTCTGTTCATAGAAGTTTGCTTTAGAAATGAGAGCTATTTCTAAATCAAAAATCTGAGCTATTCTGAGGCTTAAATTCTGCCTGACAATCTGCTGTGTAATTTTTAATGCACTTAGTTTTTAATTAACAAGTAGTTATTTGTGTATATTGTGGATACTAGTATCTGTCAACTCAAGAGTCTTGAGCCACTCATGAACCATTTTACCAGGTACACTAGTTTCTGCCTCTGACTCCTAGTTTCCTTTGAGCTGGTCACTATGATGGCTGGACCTCAGTTCTTCCCTCAGCTGTCTTGTAATATCACTATATATTTACACTGTGCTTAACTATTTTTTCTTATATTATCTAATAAATCCTCACTACTGCCAGTATAGAACATAAAATAGATGGGAATTTTACAGGTGACCAAAAATGAAGTTTCTTGCTTATAATCCCAAAGCTAGTTAGTGGTGACCAAACAAAAATAGGGAAGCTCCATTTAAATTTTGAATTTTTTGTTTGTAGTTGTTACTTGTCTTTGCTTTTCTATCCTTTCCTTCTTTCATATGTTTTCTTATTACCGTAGCTAGGTACATACTGACAGTAATTGATTGTAAAATGTAGTGATTTGAAAGTAAACTTGTCCTAACATAGTAGGTTCTGTTCACTTTGTTATGAAAATAAATATTCTTGGATTCTCAAATTAGATTTTTAAATTCTTGTAGACTGGACACTATGGCTCATGCCTGTAATTTCAGCGCTTTGGGAGACCAAGGTAGGAGGATTGCTTGATGTCCGAAGTTTGAGGTCACCCTAGGCAACATAGATAGACCTCATCTCTTTTTTAAAAAGGGTTTAATTAGTCAGGTGTGGTGGTGGACACATGTGGTCCTATCTACTCAGAAAGCTAAGGCAAGAGGATCGATACAACTCAGGTTTGAGGCAATAGCAACCTATTATCACACTACTGTCCTCCAGCCCAGGTAACAGAACAAGACCCCTTCCCTAAAATAAATAAATAAATTCTCGGCTCAGCGCCTGTGGCTCAACCAGCTAAGGCGCCAGCCATGTACACCTAAGGTGGCGGGTTCGAATCCCCA